AAATTGAAAACTAAAAAATGTTTACTTTCCATACTCATACATATTTCACTGAATCAAATAGCTAATTTTCCAGTGTTATCAACTGACCACAATAAAACTATTTTGTTACCATCTCATGACCCTTTGCAAATAAGTTAAACAACCATCTTGTTTATGTATTATCTGTTGACTTTAGCAAGGCTACAGAGTCAAAAGACTTTTTACTAATCTTCTGTTCAAGATAATATAATGGCAGGACAGAACAAAAAGTATTGGTACATAGAGTTGTTGTTGTTGTTGTTGTTGTTTTAATGGACTCATTCCATACTGAAGCAGTGAAAAGCAATGGAATTTTATGAAAAAATTTAAAACAAAAATTTACATAATACATATTCATAATTCTACTATTAAAGCAAGTAAAAAGAAATCTCTAGGCTAAATTCATTAAATGTTAAGCTTATTAAGTATTAGTTAGGCTTGTTTTGTTAATTTAATTTTGAAAATATTATTTGTTTATTTGCTTATGCCAGTTGAGTTCAGATTGGAACATTTCTTCATCAGAGGAAATGATTACAATGATTATCTTGACTTAACTTTTTTGTTGTCCTTAGAATGATTTTCCCTGCAAGAGAGACTGTTCAATGGCTTACTTTTATATTAAAAACCGCAATTCAGTTTTTTAAGTCTGTAATTTCAGAAATCTAGATCTTAAGGATTTTCTGTTATTTAGCTTACTCTATAAGTCTATCGGGTTTAATTACTTTTTGGGGTCTTTGAAAGATGTTTGGCTGTCTTTATAAAACTTGGCTAAATTAAATGTCTTCAGACATTTGAAATTGTGTTAATAAATTTTATTTATTGTTTCCTTTTAAGCACTTCAGATATCTGAGTTAACAAACAAAATCTTCCTGAGAAATTATGTGACTCAGAATTTAACAATTTAGATTTTAACTAGGATAAAACCTAAATTAATTTTTTTTAAATCCTCACTCGAGGATATGTTTTTATTGATTTTAGAGAGGAACACTTTGATGGGAGAGAGAAACATCATTTGGTTTCCTTCCTTACGCACCCCATCTAGGAATCGAACCCGCAACCTTTTGGTGTACAGACAGTGCTCCAACCAACTGAGCCACTCGGCCAGGGCACCCTAAGTTATCTTAAACATTCCCATACTCTTTATAAATTTAAGATTTAAAATCAAGTTAAAACTTAATTAATTACACATTCTAATGTCTAATTAATTAATGTGTAAAGAGGCTGCCTGACATCCACTGAGCCCCTCAGTCTTTTTCTCTCACTCTTACTACTAACACTTCTCCCCTTGTGGCTGGAAATTTGGGAACATCCCCTATCCTTGTTTTAGCTTCTCAAGCTACCATCCTGAGAACTCCTATTTTATCTTTTATATTTATTTATTTATCTAATTTATTTTTGTTACAGATGTTTCTCCTTTTTACCCCATTGACACCCTCCTCCTGATTTCACCTCCCCCCCCAGCATTGTTGTCTATGTCCATTGGTTATGCATCTATGCATGTAAGTTACTTGGTTTATTACCCTCCCTACCCACCCACCTCCTCTGAGGTGTGTCTGTCTGTACCCTACTTCCATATCTCTGGGTCTATTTTGTTCATCTGCTTATTTTGTTCATTATATTCTACAAATAAATGAGCTCATGTGATATTTGTCTTTCTCTGCTTGGCTTATTTTGCTTAGCATAATACTCTCCAGGTCCCTCCCTGTCATCTTAAAGGATTAGAGATCTTTCTTTCTTACAGCTGCATAGTATTCTATTGTGTATATATACCACAGCTTTTTAATCCACTCATCTATTGATGGACACTTGGACTTTTCCAGATCTTAGCAATTGTAAATAGTATGGCTATGAACATGGGGGTACATACATTCTTTCTGGTTGGTGTTTCAGGTTTCTTAGGATATATTCCTAGAAGTGGGATCACTGGGTCAAATAGCAGTTCAATTTATAATTTTTTGAGGAAACACTATATTGTTTTCCAGAGTGGCTGCACCGGTCTGCATTCCCACCAGCAGTGTACTAGAGACCCTTTTCTCCACACCCTCACTAGCACTTGTTTGATGATTTGTTGATGGCAGCCATTCTGGCAGGTGTGAAGTGATACCTCAGAGTCATTTTAATTTTCATCTTTCTTATGATTAGTGACGTTGAGCATTTTTTTATATGTCTCTTGGTCATTTGTATGTCCTTTTTGGAGAGGTGTCCTCTGCCCATTTTTTAATTGGGTTCCTTGTCTTCCTTTTGTTGAGTTGTATGAGCACTCTAAATATTTGTGAATTAACCCCTTATCTAATATATCGTTGGCAATTATGGTCTCCCATATAGTGTGTTCCCTTTCCATTTTGACGGTTGTTTCTTTTGCTGTGCAGAAGCTTTTTAATTTGATGTAGTCCCACGTATTAATTTGTCCCTTTGTTTCTCTTGCCTTAAGCATTGTATCAGTGAAAATTCGGCTGCTTGTGATGTGTGAAATTTTGAGAACTCCTTTTATGGCCTTAATCTAAAGATCCTATTCCAACTCTGTGACAAAGACACAGTTATTTGAGTTAGACTAGGGCAATTACTTCTGTTATAGCTAAGACTTAACAAAACTAGAGACTTTCCAATTCCTTTTTTGCTGGGAGTAAATAATGATAATAGTAATATTGATTTTAAAAAGACACTATGATGCTCATATTACTGATAAATACACTCGAAAAGTTTGAAATAGGGTATGTGCTTGCTCTGGTTATTGGAAGGTAGGATAAGAAGAAGAATATTTCATTCACTCACTTATTTACTTATTTTATCAAAGGTCAGGGAAGAAAAGAGAGGAAAAAAAAGGTAGAAAATAGCAGTGAGCAATGGGAAAGGAAGCAGTTAACTAATTGCTTGAAACCTGGAGAAAAAGTAAGGTTGGCCTCACACCACCTGATGTGTTTAATTATCTTCGTTTGCTAGGTGGGTCAGTATCTTTTGGAATGTGGGTTCTAGATGTAAGTATATTTCAGCCTCCATGCTATGCTACCTACGATTATTTGGTAGTGCTGTCTGGGTGTGGAGTTGAAAATAATTCTGAAACACATTCAGCCTCAGAGGGAAAGAGTATCTTATCTGTAAGTAGTGCCCGTCACTGCCACTGAAAGGGAGGCATACATGCCTTGTTTGCTGTCCTCTGCAGGCTTTGGAGGGCAATCTAGAAATGCTCCAGTACAAGGGAAATGTGAGCGTTGTTGACAGTCACACTAGAGTGATGCCAGGGTTTTCTGGGAATAGTGAACAAACTCTAGCCTCGAAAGTGGTCGTTCGTTGTCAGTCAGGGTGGTCTGACAGGCTGCCATGGAGACACAGCAGCAGGGCCAGGGCCATATGTTACCAGCCAGAACTTCGTTCATAGGATAGTAGTCAGTGAGAAGAAAGTAAGGCCAGGTGTCAAGACAAGGGCTCAGGAAGCAATGTAGAAGCCCAGTATTGGGTCTGGGAGATAAGGTGAAGGCTTGGTTTTGGGAGGGGAAAAAAAGGGCAACAGTCTAAAAATTATGATGAAAGGTCAGAGATGAACAATCATAAATCTGGCTGGATGCTGAACTGATGGGCTGCTAGCCGAGAAAGAGCTATATTCGGGGTGGGGTAAAAGGAGGCTTACAGCCCTGGCCGGTTTGGCTCAGCGGTTAGAGCATCCACCTGCGGTCCACAGAGACCCGGGTTCGGTTCCCGCTAAGGGCATGTACCTTGGCTGCAGTTTGTCCCCGGCCCTGGTTGGGTGGTGTGGGTGGCGGCCACTCGATGTGTCCCTTTCACATCGATGTTTCTCTCTCTTCCTCTCTCTCCTTCCCACTCTATCTGAGTAAAAAATGGAAAAATGTCCTCGGGTGAGGATTAAAAAAAAAAAAAAAAAAGGAGGCTTACAGTTGTGGGTATGTGAAACACGGAGTTTATTCTTGTATCATTTATTAATTATTACATTGTTTTCCATACGAACAACTGTAAACCCACCTTTTCACAAGCCTGTAAATCCCCCTCTCATAGCCTAGGACCAGCATGAGGCAGTAGGTGGGAGTTAGTGCCAGATATGTAGCTTGGACCATTTCACTGACAGGAGATCCAACAGTCCTTACACGCTCATCCATTCGCCTTCTCGCTCACACCATCTCTTTCGTCAGAGCTTATACTCAAGGCTGTGAAAACAACTGCAGCAAATTTAGAGCTATGGAAAATCTAAATTAATAGTGGTATGTTGATAGTATGTTTATTTGGAGCGCTGTGGTACACAGTGCTTAGTTTATAGTAGTGTGGCACAGGTAACAATGGATTAAACATTATTTCTGTGGACTCACTTGGTTCATATATTCCAGATATGTTTGTGAGGGCGGGACACTGTTTTCATTTTCTTAGCTCATTATGGACATACAATCTGTTCATAGATTAAGAATGCCTCTGTCACTCGCCAGAGTGTTGTTTTGACAAAATATATAATGGAGAGTTAGGCAGGTATAATTTTTAAGTGAAAGGAAGAACTAAGCTGGATAATATTAAATGTATTCAATTATTTGTGTTAGAAAGTAAAAGAAACTTCATTTATCCACCTCCACTAATTTGAATTTGTATTGCCAACTTGGAGCAGGTTAAAGTACATTATTGTTTTATCTATTTAAGAAAATTTGATAAACCAATTAAATGATAAACAAGATTTATGAGGTATACTAAATCCATTTTCAAAAGCAAATTATCTTAAGTCTTGTCCTGCAAAGTGTTGTATATAAATGAATACTACTAATTACAAATGAGTTTTACTCATTAAAGGAGATTCAACAAACATATACCTCATTGTCACATGTACTTGAAGTTCATTTACTATTTGTACTTCACAGATCCAGATAGTACTCCCTTAATTGATTGTAATTAGTGTATGTGTGTGTGTGTGTTTGTGTGTGTACACATGTCAAAATATATTTATGAATCACAGAAAGCTTTGACTTTATCATTAAATCTATCCTCTCCAGGTTTTTACCAAGCCTTGCAAAGTCAGCATTAGAAAAAAATCTAGCAGATGCTTCAATAGAAATAAGTGCTAATGATAATCTAGACCCAGAACTGGAAGATTTCAAATGTAAGTATTTCATTTCTTTCTCTTTTTAGTGAAATAATAATTATCAAATGTTTTCTATTATTAATTTTCAATAAAAAATTGTTTTATTTTCCTTTTATTTGGGATTGAAGAAATGAATTTTTTGTTTATTTTTTAAAATGTTGAAACCCACTTGAAAGTTAAACCTTAAACTACTTCCTTCATTTCCATACCTGATACAGGTTCCTCCCCCCCACCCCTCGGGACCACTCCCACTCCCCCAAGAGTCACCATTGATATGGACATGTTAAATAAAGTCTAAGAATTTAGGTATAAATAAACTTGTGTGATTTTGTTTAACCTTTTTCCCAAATTATTTCACCATAGAATCTAAAATTTTGTTTTCCTTGCACAACATTTACATTTTGAGGACCAGCTGTGTCTTATGAGATGTATTTGGGAATCTATTCTAGGTTGAAATAGACTAAAATAATATTCAGAGGACCATTTAATGTCTTCTTAATCTTTCATTTCCACATGTGTTGTCTTTTGTGGTACTTTTCTCCTGGAGAGCTATAAGTATAATTTTGAGTTGGGAGGAGGTTGAGCTCTTCCTGTGAAAGTTCCTCATTCCTCAATTAGAGCACGAGGAAAGGCTCTTTATTGTTTGAGGTACGAATTACCTGTTTTATCAAACCTTCCAATCTGTGACCATTCTCCAAAGGGGACTATTGTGACTTTCTTTGTAGTAGGTGTTTTTAATTGTTGAGGATACACTGAGATAAGAATTTGATATTTAAAAAAATAAGAAGCTTCTTTTAAAGTAAAATGATAAGCCCTTGCCGGTTTGGCTCAGCGGTTGGAGCGTTGGCCTGCAGACCAGAGAGTCCCAGGTTCGGTTCCCGCTAGGGGCACATACCAAAAAAAGAAAAAGATTAAAGTAAAATGATAAGCTCTGTACACTGGTGGATATGGGTGTAGATACATAGAGCCAATTCAGAGACAGAATAACTGCAGTATTTTTTAGATTCGTAATGTCACTTGATGAATTTTTTAACATATCCAAAGAAAGACTGCATCATTCAGACTGTAGATTGTTTGGTCTTGGTAACAGGCCAGTGTTAGCTGTTCCTATCTAAGCCTTGTATAGGGGATAAGGAACCTAAGTTAGGAGACTTGATTCCTCCGATTCCATTCATCTTTAAAGTCACTTTCTTTGTTTAGGGGCCATACTCACCAAGCAACATTCTGATGAGGATCTGGCTTGTTCCATGCAGGTCTTCCTCTAGATGGAACAACCAGTGTATCATCTAGTCCATATGAAAGTTACAGTTTTCATTGCAATGTTATACTTTGAAATTCTGGTTTTATATATAAAAATTTATATATAGATAAGAATCTATGTCTTTAATAATCTCCTGAGAGTTAGATTTGTCCTGTTTGGTGATGACAAAGCCTATTAGGCTGAGGAGTTGACAAATTTATCAAAATAATGCCATCCTCTGAGATTTCTCAGAAGATTGTTAGCCAGCTTTCTCCCAGGAAACTATAGTACCCATTTGCTCCATGCGTTCCCCTTTTCTCGCTTGAAATTTTAACAGTAAGTGTTGGTTGATTGAATTAAATTGTCCTAATGCCCTAAATATACTAAACCTATATATCCGTAAATCATGGATGATATCAGATGCTGTTCAAATCTGAAATTATGTATGTCATCTTAACATATATGTATATAGTAAATTCATGCCACAATCTTGGTCTTTCCTGTTACAGTTTTATATTGGATCTATTTCAGAGACCTGACGGTAGTAAATAAATAATAAATCCTCAGTATGACAGCTTATGGTTTCTTTTTCCTATAGAACTTGTAAGTAAAAGGAAAATGCCAAGGATCTATTGACAGACGAGGTCTACTGTGCTGTCGCAAGTGTGTAGCACTCACAGTGATTAAACAGGGTGATAGTTTATTATTTTTAGCTTAAAATTGTTCACGGTGCTCCATAGATGCAAATGTTGCCTTTGCACCTTGTCTTTTAAAATGCTTTAGCACAGAGATAGAAATTTCCTTATTTAAAATAGGGAGGGAAAAGATGGGTCAGTTGTTTCAGGCATTGTAATTGTCTACCTGCTTGCCAGGGTATTTCCACAGGATAAAATATTATTTGGAGTAAAAAGATTTAACATACCCTAAGTGGAAGAAAGAACATAAGTTCTATTTTTGGCTCTACCCATACTAGCTGGGAGAATTTAAGCAAATCATTAATTTATATTTGTCTTAGTTATAGTTCTTGTCTCATTATTAGGAAAAACTACATGAAATTGTATGAGAAAACAATGAGCTGAAGCTCCTAGTTTGGGATCTGGCACATAAAAGGTTCTCAGTAAATGATAGCTTCTATTATTGTAATCATCAGAACTACTACAACAACTATTGTTAGTGTTATTATTGACTTTGGCATATATCAGATAGTGAACGTGTACGTCTGGTTACTGTAGGGAATACACATGAGAGATGTTTCCTTACTTCAAGAAATTTATTATTTAGCTTCCCGCCCTCCAAGGAGCTCAGATTCTATTCTAGACCAAATATAGGAAACAGTACAGTAATAATTATCACAAAATAATTGTATAGCTCCTGGGGTGCTTATTTGAAAATGTAGATCTGGACAATCCCTGGAAATAGTAATCTGGGAAGTCTGGCATCGGTTGGTCCATTTGTGGTTTTGAATTGCTATCTAGGGGATTCTCATGTGGGGGTTTTGAATGATTAGGTCCTGAAAAGTGGTATTCAAGGTACTTCATTGCTTTCGAGTGTGAATTTGGCTTATATATGTGTGGTAGTCTTTGACTGGACAAGCTTATTAAGGTGACTTGCCTGAGTTCTGAGTTTTGTTTTCTTCTCTCAATTTTATCTATATGCTGTTTGCTATATACATTGTTTTAATTATATTATTACAGTTTGGATCATTTAAAGCTTTTTTTAGAGTTTTACATTTTTTATGTAGAGCTAAAAACCCTCTAGAAAATAAAACACCTTGAAGGTTTTTACTACCACCTTCAAACTTATTTATTTTATATATTAAATTAAAATTCCTTGACCAGCCCATAGGATATTAAAGATGCTGTATTGCATTTTGTATGGGCTGAACTTGACTTCTCTGAGGACAGTGCCACGGGTAATTCTCTGTCCTGTGTGACACAGGTGAAGTAGCATCTGGCTGTCTGAGGATTGGAGCTGTCAGTGCACCAGTCTATAATGCCCACGAGAAAATGAAAGTGCCTGATGTTCTGTTCTATGACAACATTCAGGTAAGATCGCTGCTTCGCATCCAGGGATCAATCACCATTTACGTTGTAGTAGTTCATTCTGATTCAAGTGAAACTGTTTAATTATTTTTATAATTGACTAAGTTCAATTCGGATGATGCAAAATGAAGTGTTGAAACATTTCCCATTAATGCATTGTAATATTGGAAGAGCTGCTGCCATGATTAGAGTATAATACATTTTATATGTGCACGTATACTATACTTCAGGTAAATAAAATGAATATATTATTAAATTAAAAACAAAGTGGGACTAATACGTATCCTCTCTTTTGTTTTCCTGTTGGTTAAATCATTTTAATTTAAAGAGGAATGTGTCCTATGCATTCTTTTTTTAAAAAAATCCTCACCCAATGATATGTTATATTGATATTTATTTATTTATCCTCACCCGAGGACATTTTTCTATTTATCTTCAGACAGATTAGGAGGGAGGGAGAGAGAGAGAGAGAAACATCAATGTGAGCGAGACACATTGACTGGCTGCCTCCCGCACAACCCCAACCAGGGCTGGGGACGAACCTCAACTGAGGTACGTGCCCTTGACCAGAATCAAACCTGGGTCTCATTGGTCCCGGGACAATGCTCTAACCGCTGAGCCAAACCAGCCAGGGCATTTTATTGATTTTTAGAGAGAGGGGAAGAGAGGGTAGGGGGAGAGAAAAACATCGATCGGTTGCCTCCCATATACTCTCTGACTGGGATCAAACCCACAACCTAGGTATATGCTCAGACCAGGAATCGAACCCACAACCCTTTTGGTGTATGTGATGACGCTCCAACCAACTGAGCCACCTGGCCAGGGCTGTCCTATATATTCTTTCCTTCATATTCCTTTCTTTTAAAAAAAAAAATTCTAGTATTTTTTTTTCTTTAGTTTTTTTTTTTTTTTTTTTTTTTTAAAGGAAGGAGAGTAGATAATTTCCCACTTGTAAACTAACCCATAATTATGGACCTTCTATTAAGATACAGAAATAAGTGTGACCATAGAATGCTTTATTGTAGATGTTCACTTTAATAAGATTTTCTTCCAGAGAAAATAACTCATAATATAAAAAGTTGTTTTTCTTTTCCAGATTTTCTGTCAAGTGGTTATGTATTTATTTTATAATAAAACACATACTAAAATTTTTTGTAGTATTTGGTCACTTAATCTGCATGTAAATAATAACCTAACATTTACAAATTATGTTACAAAAACGTGTACCTACTCTTCTCACTATGTTAAAGATTTAGGTATACTCAAGTAAAATTTCTTTTATATGCCGTTTTCCAATTCTGTTTGTTGTTCAATGAGTATCATAATTTATATCTTTATATTATATTAACAACATAGAACCTATCTAGGCAAATTGTTTTTAGCAAAAATATTAATGAAATATTTTGAAATCTGTCCAAACTTTAATTATCATCTATGGCATAGCAAAAGGTATAACCCAATTTGGGTTTTGTTCATTCTATAGTCAATTAACTAATAAAGATTTCATTTTTTTCCAGAGCATTAATGATCTTATATAAGCAGTAGACAAATGAACAGAAAATAAAGCTACTTATAAGACACAGAGGAGGGAAAAAAATCTTGCCTATCAATAAAGACAAAAAACATGATTGTAAGGAAAAATATACTATTTTAAAGTATTGATGATATCACACTCTGTCCATGTAGTAGAAAAGAATAAAGAAAAAAAGAATTAGGGAACTTTGATATAAGTGAAAATCTGCAAATCTCCAGGGTAGCAGATGTTGAAGACTTGCCAGCACTGAGCACGTCGGAGCTTCAGTAGCAGGGAGGGTCTGTTGCCATGGTGCTTGTGACACAGACATTGAGGCCCCCAGGGCTGCTGTGAACTTTACACAGTGGCCCTGAGGGACTTTCTGCAGCCTGTCTCCAAACATAGCTTCTCTTCATAAAACATTGGGAAGGAACTGTTAATGAAACGTTTAGCTGTACCAGTTCTAGGAACAGCGGCTTGATTACATTTGCACTTGCGGTATATATTACTGTTTCCTTTATGCCGCTCTTCATCTTTGAAGCAGTAGTCTTCAGGGCCTCTTGGATAGCTAGGTGCTCCTATACCCTGTTGTTCTAGGTCCTGTGGTCCTCTTAGCACATTGTGTTGAAACTGATTTTCAAAATGTTTTTGCACACCAGTAGTGCAAAGTGTTGTCTTTTCTTTATTTTGTATCTCCAGCAAATAGCATAGTGCCTGGCACAGTGACTACTGAATAAATATCTGTTGAGTGAATTAATGAAAGAATGGATAACATTTTAAGTGTTCATAATCAGAAGTATTATTTCATTAAATCTGGGATTAAGGAATATTACACTTGCAGCAGTAAGGAGGAGAAATGGGAGGAAAGAGAGTTTAATAGCCTTTTAATAAACTTAATGAGCTTTAGATCTGAAAAAAATTTAAAAATATCTCCCATGTGACAAGTCTTGTCATAAAGTATTAGGATGCTGAGACAAAATACACAGGCACATGTGTGCACACTGCTACTGAGCTCAATTTGCTTGGGTCTGTCAAGGAGGGAGAAAGACATGTAACTACACATAGTTACTATACAGTGATGAAAGTACACGCAGGTTACCATGGTAGCATTGATGAGAGGATGGTCCCAAATTGGAATGATCACAGAAAATGAGTTAACCAGGTCCAGTTGAGAGAGTCTGTTAGGCAGAGAGACTAGCATTTGCAGAGACTTGGCTATGTGACTGAGTAGCTAATTTAAGGAGCTACATATAATTCATTGTCATTGGCACATTGTTGAGGTTGTAAATGGAAGAGTGACAAGAGATGAGGCTGACAAGGTAGGAAAGGGTCACATCTTCTGGACCTTGCGAATTAAGGAATTTGGATGCTGTTCTGAAGTGAAGAAGCCCCTGACAGTTTTTTGTTGTTGTTGTTGTTGTTCAGGTAGAGTGGGAGGGAGAGAGAGGAACAGAGAGAGAGAGAGAAACATCGATGTGAAGGGACACATTGAGTGGCTGCCACCCGCACGACCAACCAGGGCCGGGGACAAACTGCAACCGAAGTACATGCCCTTAGCGGGAACCGAACCCTGGTCTCTCAGGACCGCAGGCCGACGCTCTAACAGCTGAGCCAAACTGGCCAGGCCCCCTGACAGTTTTTAAGCACATTTCCACTTTTGCTAACTTTGCATTCACTCTTTAAAGTTGTCTGTGAGTTGGAACTAAAGCAGGGAGAGACTAGTTAGGAGGCTGCTGTAATAGTCCAGGTGAAAGTTATTAAGGATCTGAACACAGGCAGTGACAGTGGGGATGAGTGGAAAGCACACACTGCAGGGTCATTTAGGAAGGAGGTGGAATCACTAGAAATTTGTGTTAGATGAAAGACAAAGATTCTTCCTCTGGAAGCACGTAGTCCAGTAGAAACATTAAAAAAAAAAAAAAAAAGTAAAGAGAAAATTATGCTAAGTTGTGCCCTTGACTGGAGTACAATGTAGGAGAAGGAGAGTGGTAGGAGATGAGACTGAGACTAAATCAATAAGTGAAGGAGTGACCTTTGTTCCAAAGGTATTAGGAGTCATTTAGGAATTTTGAAGAAAGAAGTGACAGGATTTTGAAGAACCAAGTGAGTTAGTGCAGGCATACCTCGGAGATATTGTCGGTTTGATTTCAGGCCACCACAGTAAAGTGGGTACATGAATAAAGCAAGTGACAGTCTTTATGCTAGTGGAGAATCTTACCTTCAATTTGTAAAAAAAAATGCAATATCCGTGAAGAGCGATAAAGCGCAACGCAATAATGAGGTACGCCTGTACGTTAAAGAGCATGTTGGCTCAGGGAGAAACAGAAGTTAGAGAAGCTAAATTGACTTATTAAAATCTAAGCCAGGGATCACAAAGACCTGAATGAAAACTGGGGATAAAAAGGAAAGGATGGATATGATTGACTTTTTGGTGGCTCAATAGCTTAGACTTGGTGTCTAAATGGCTCTTGATAAGGGAGGAGTGAGGTGGGCAGGTGGTAGGAAATGATACTATTAATCAGGATAAAAGAGACAGGATCAAGAATGATTTGGAGGAGAAAGTAATGAGTCAAGTTTTTGACCTTTGAGTTTCAGGAGACTGGGAAATAACCAAGTAGTTTGATAGTTACTCAGAAGTACAGGGCTGGAGTTGAGGAAAAAAGTCTTGTTGTCGAAGATTAGCGTGGAGTTGGTAGTTGGACCATGGAATGGATGAGAGGAGTTAAGGAGAGTAGGGTCAGAAGTAGCTCTCCAGTTACTGAAGTGGGGCCCTCACCTCTGCACGAGGCCCTCCCTCAGTCCGCTAGTGGGTGCCATGCTAAAACAGACGCAATCTGCTCTGCCCTATACTCTGCCCACCCCCCCGAAAACATGTACAAAGATAGAAAGAGAACAAACGAAGGAACATGGGGAAATTTTAAGGAATTAGTACAAGAAGAAGATCCAACTCAGAAGACTGGAGAAGAATTGTAGAGAGGTAGGAAGTAATCTGGAGAGACAGAACTGGGAGGGGAGACTTTCGAGAAATTGTCTCTGGTACTAAGTGGGTCACATGGTTAAGAGGAGAATGATGTAGGCAGTGACCTGAGCCTTAGCTAATATTTGTTAATTTGAATAATCTAGTTAGATGTAATGAAGGCATGAAGTAGGAGGACATGAGAAAAAGTAAAGAAGGCTAGAGATGTAGTTTGGGTTATTTTGTATTTATTTACATTGCTTTTTTACCTGGCTATACAGATGCTCATTCCAATTTATCTATCCTTATGCAGATTAGCCCATTATTTCTGGGAGAATTAATATGTCTGGAAATTGGTTCTGAATTTTTATCCTGGAGGAGGTCTCCAGACCACATTATCACTAGAACCCAGATTTAAAAAGTGTTCTAGGTCTCCTTTGGAACTAGGATAATTATAAATACCTTGGTTTGCTTAAAGTCCCTGTTTACATTTATTGTCCCAGTATAAATATTGATAATGTCCCTTTTGTTCTTAAAAGTATTCCAGAAGGGACAATAAATTGATATCACCCTACTCCAAATCTTGTTAAAATTCTAGCTCCATGGTATATCTGAAAGCATTTAAAAAAAATAAAAACCTCCAAGGTAAACATTAGGGAATATTCATCTATTCTTGAAGGAGGGAAAACTTTCTCAGTTTTTCTCTTGAAGAATAAATCTGAAGGAAAATATTGCTTAATTTGACAAGTAAAAGGAAAATATTCTAGATATCCAAAGAAGTCCATAAACCAAGTTGGGAAAAGAAAAGCAAGTGACAAACTAGAAAAATATCTGCAGCAAATATTAGATACAAAATGAGGAGCCAATTTAAGCAAAATAGATTTAAAGAGATTTTAATACTGAGACAGATTCCTCTCATCCATTTCATGGTTTCAATGATCAACTTTACTCTGCTTTTCTTACAAGTAGAGAACTTCAGTAACTTCAGTACTTATGCGACCGGTATTGTTTTGATACAGAAAATCAGGAGAAAGTAATATGGATATTATTTATTCTGGGATATAGTTCTCTCCTCAACCCCCACCTTCCCGAGCCTTTGTGACCTATTAATAGTTGTCCTACTTTTCAAGATACAAAAGAGCAATGTAATTTCATTTGTGCCTATTGTGAACAACTTAATCTTGTTCTTGTATTATTTTGTGTCATAATTTGAATTAAAAATGTAAAAGGTAAATAATATATTTTTAATTCTAAAGCTATACCTTCTTTGAAGGTAATAGTTAAAAATTAATCATGTAAAATGTTCATAGAAATCCCCAATTATTTTAGACATCCTTTGTATATTTACATTAGCAAATGTTGATTTAAATATTATATTAAATTATTGTTTGATAACTGAAAAATATTTGAAATATTGGTAAGAGACTTAGTTTTGCTCAGGTGTACCATTTCAGGTTTTCAGTATCAGTGACCTAATTGGTTATATAACTTACTTATAACCACAGCATGAATTTTTGTTTTTTCTGAAAAATCAAATTGTTTAGGTATTATCTATTATAATAAATGTTTTTCTTTCCTTTGAAGACACCATTATAGTTATCTTTATTTCACCTTGATTATGCAAAACACAATTAACCTGTAGTTCTTCTTCTCCAGCACATGATAGTGATGGAAGATATGCTCAAAGACTTTCTTCTTGGAGAACATCTATTATTGGTTGGCAACCAGGTGAGTTATGGCTGGAACTCAGGTACTAATGAGCAAGTGATGGTAACAGTATAAAAGCAGTAAGTTTCTTATTTTTGTCAGAATACATTTTTAGAAATTATTCTTTTTTTTTTTTTACCTAAATGACTGGTTCAATTAAATGATGAAAGTCTTCTACCTTCTAAACTTTAGAATTAACTCAGGGCTTAAATCACCCCCCATTTAATCACCCATCAAGTCCTGTCCATCCTGTTTCATAAGTATCTACTCTTCTTTTCCATGTCTGTCACCCTAGCCTAGCACCTGGATTAGTTTCCTAACATAGCTCCATCTGGACCTTACTCCCACTTTGGTCTACTCTACTCTGCAGCCAGATTGATAATTGTAAAACTAAAATCTGATTAAGTCTCTTTTTTGCTTAAATTGGCTCAGCACTGCCCTTAGATATGGTCTGCAGTATGGCTTTCAGTGTCCTGCAGGATCTGGCCTTTGCTCACCTTTCTAGTCTAACCCTGAGCCCCTCCTTTCTGGCACTCTGTTAGCTTGGGCCACTCTGAACTCCGGCGGGTTCTCATCTCTGCTCTGGTCTTTGGTGCGCGCTCTTCTCTGCCTGGAGGACTCCCAGCACCCTTCCCACACCCCCTTCCTCTAACTCCAGGGGGTCTTACTAGTCCCTGGCTGAGTAGGTTTCCCTGCTTCTCTGTGTCCGTCCACCTCCCTGTCATCACACTAGTTGTTACTATATTTGCATGTAGAACAATGTCTTCCCAACTTGTCTCTATGTTTCTCAAGGGCAGAGATGACAGTTCTCTTGCTCATCTCTGTATCCTCAGTTCCTAGCACAGTACCTGCTACATAGAAGATATTCAATATGTGGTTATGGAGAGAATAGATGAATATTTTATATTTGGGAGGGTTCTTATAAATTTTCTTTGTTGAATTGTCAGACTCACAGTGAGCAGCATCTTTTTTTAGGAATTGGTCTTAACTTAAGGATAACAAGCTTTCAGAAGGGGTTTGGTCTTTACTTTTCCATTTTTTAACCTATAAAACAAAACATATTCTTTATTTAGTGCCTCCAAGTTATCATTTTATTTTATTTTTCCATCACCATTTATCCCCTCTGTGCCCTCTTCCACCACCCTCACTGCAGTCACCACACTGCTGTCTGTCAGAGAGTTCTCTCTTTTTTTGCTTAATCCTTCCACCAACCCCCCAACACCCCCCTACACACACACACACACACACACACACACACACACACACACCCCAGAGCTGTCCACCTACTCCGTCTGTGAGTCTGTAATGAAATATGCCAGTCAGAGAAAGACAGTACCATATGATTTCACCCATATGTGGAATTTAGCGAACAAACTAAACTTATCTTTGTAAAGTGTTGGGTTTTTTTTTTTTACAAAAAGTAGGCCAGTTGAGTGTCTTACTGGTTTAGTGTACAGGCTTGGAAGTTAACTGCTTAGAGGTCCAATAACGACTCTTTCACAGAGGGAACCTGGGAATAAAAACTGTACTGTTTTATTGGGTTAATGTAAGGATCACATGAGGAAATGAACAGAGACCACTTTACACAGTGCTTGGCTCATAGTAGGTGCCACTGTATCACTGTACTATTAACAAGGACTCTATTCTCTTGCTTCATGTTTTTCTAAACCATTAAAAGGAAAGTGATAAATTATTTATGGTATTTTATTTCACAATTTGAAAAGTTCTACCTATTCTCATATACTAAAAAATAATTTTTCCTGATGCGTCTGTATACCAGAGTAGGAGAAAAATGATCAGTTAATGGTCTAGTATTCTGTTCTTGCCATTGGAGCCCAGGGAGTCAGGAGACTGAGAGAAATTGACTAAAATTTTTGTTTTGTAAATTTGCAACTGTTTAGTGAAGGAAATGAGTAAATTAGATAGACTCTGGGGGGTGTCCACTTAATAGTTAAGTGGCCCATTCAACTGGATATAGTAACATACTGAGAGGATCAGAGACTGGCAGCATTATCACTAGGAAAGGATAATGCAGTACTAATTATTTTTAAATATCTAGTAATAATTAAGTGCTAATTCGTAGTTAGCTAATTAAATGAGGTCTAACTTTGTGCATGCTGCATTTACCAGGCCAGGGAGTGGAAATCGTACCAAAGTAGCTAGTTAAAATCTAAATACAATTTTTTGAGTACTTTAGCCAGTTTTGTTCCTTTCAAACTTGTTTTCAAAACCGAATGTTGGTGTTAAGATCTCACTCAGCAAGATTATTGACTCTTTTTTCTCCAGCTTTAATGAGGTATAATTGACAAAAATATATTTAAAGTGTTGCCCTGGCCGGTTTGCTAAGTGGTTAGAGCGTCAGCCTGTGGTCCCGAGAGACCTGGGTTCGGTTCCCGCTAAGGGCACGTACCTCGGTTGCAGTTTGTCCCCGGCCCTGGTTGGGTTGTGCAGGTGGCAGCCACTCGATGTGTCCCTTTCACATCGATGTTTCTCTCTCTCTCTCTCTCTGTCTCCCTCCAACTCTATCTGAGCAAAATATCAAAAAATGTCCTCGGGTGAGGAAAAAAAAAAAAAAAGTGTACAATGTGATGATTTGATATATGTATACATTATTAATATAAATTGTGACAGGATTCCTCCCATCTAGTTAATGAACACATCCATTACCTCACCTATTTACTCTTTTTTGGGGGGAGAACATTTAAGTTTCAATTATGCAATACATAGTTATCAGTTATAGTCACCATGCTAAGCATTAGATCCTTAAACCTTATTCATCTTATAGGTGAAAGTTTGTACTTTCTCACCAACTTCTCCCTACTTTCCCGAACCCTCCTTCCCCCTAGAAACCACTTTTCTACTCTCGGTTTCTAAGGGTATGACCATTTTTTCCCCCTAGATTCCACGTGTAAGCATTTGTATTTCTCTGTCTGGCTTATTTTACTTTCACAATGCCCTCCAAGTTCATGGTTAGACTCTTGACTACTGCCATTGGCATGTGTGGGGCGGGTGGAGCCTCCTGGAGTTCCGTGGGCAGAGCTGTGCTTTGCTCAGGGCTGGTGTAGAGTTGTGCTCTTTCACTGCGCCTTTCTCCACCCAGATTTCTTTCTTGGGAATGTGTACTTTTTCAGTCATAGTAACAGATCCTTCGTCAACAGCTTTGAAAAAATATTTATTAGTGGTATTTTAGTACCTCTCTTTATATTTTTTGCACCTTCTCACCTTCACTCTTATTTCCATGTTATAAGACAAAACAAAAAGAACAAGACAGGCAGGTGAAGGTGAAGCTGATAGATAGGTTGAGGATTGCTGACTCTCAGCTCTCATGGGTAGTGTACCTGGTGTTTTCACTCAGATGCAAAGTGATGACCATCTGGGAAAAATGCCCATTTTAATCAAATGATTTATTTTGAAAATAAGTAAATCATTTGTAACAGTTGATCTGGCTCCTTTCTTTCTCTTTGTCTTTCTAAAACATATGATGGTTACGCAAAAAAGGAAAAAAAAGTCAATCAGAAGTGAAACTTTGAGAATTAATATTAACAGAGAAGCCAGGAGTGGGTTAGTATAAACATATAATACAGTGTTAATGAGAGCTCTTTTTTTTTTAATCCTCACCTGAGGATATTTTTTCCATTTTTTGTACAGATAGAGTGGGAGGGAGAGAGAGGAAGGGAGAGAGAGAGAGAGAAACATCGACGTGAAGGGACACATTGAGTGGCTGCCACCCGCACAACCAACCAGGGCCGGGGACAAACTGCAACCAAGGTACGTGCCCTTAGCGGGAACCGAACCCGGGTCTCTCCGGACCGCAGGCCGACGCTCTAACCGCTGAGCCAAATTGGCCAGGGCAATGAGAGCTCTTAATACAAACTGTCTGTAGATACAGACTACCCATCCTTCTGTTTGCAAAGTAGAAACTGGCTGAAGTTCATGAACAAAACTTTCAACAGTTGACGTCGTAAATTTAGAGATGTTTTGAGAGATTGCTCTTTACCAGTGGCAGTTTTTCACAGTGAGGAAATTAAAAAGACTAAGAGTGTGTTGATTTTGAGAAAGCTCAAGGTTTATCATCTTTATTAAGCTAATCCCACCTTTTCTTTCCACATAATACTCTTCTCTATGAAGATTAGACAAGATTTCATAACCGTTCCATTGGGAAGCTTAACATCATTAACACCATAAACATCACTTATGGCAAAATGAAAGTAGTCCTTATCTTCTTTTGGTGAAATAAAGTTGATTTTTAGGGCAGTTTTATAACTTTATTCGACAATCCGCAGTTAGTTCTTGTCCACTTTAACTATCTGTAGATTTCTTATTTTAAAGTGGTGACAGGTACGTAGGTGAACAATGTATAGAGCTTCTTTGATGAATCTTCATCCTCATACTTCTTCTGGACAACCACACCGAATACAGTATCGGACATTCCTTACTCCCTGGGCCCAGACACCTTTGTTGAGCCTTTGTCAATGTGTACACATAGAGTACCCCTGTTTTTCATGGCAAATTTCCTGCTCTCTTCAAGTGCCCAAGGGGCACGCTTCTTGAAGCCCACTCCACAGATGCGCTTGTGAATGCCGATGGTGTGTTCTGTGGTCACTACCTCGCTGATGGCAGAACAGCCCTTCTTCTCACCCACCCTTCTTTGTGGGAGCCGTTATGCTGGGCCCAAGTTGGAATGAAAGCAAAATTGATTTTTTTCTCCTTTTAATTTTCTATGTGGGATTTTAGAGCACAGTGCATCTACTTTCCAGTAAGTGAGGCAGAATTACTGCCTGTCAGACATAGGGAGAGGGTGCCTGGAAATTACACGTTTGATGGTCCCTTAGGATATAGTACTGCACATTGTAGAACCATTTTTATATGCTGTTACATGAGTATCTTCTACTTACTATAATTATAACATGATAGGTAGCTTTCATGCAATTAGAAGTTTCCTACTGGCTTTTTAAAAAAAAAATCATAGCATGACTTTCTATTTATTTCAACTTTATTGAGAGGGTAAAAAGAGAAATGCC